TTAAACTTCCAGTTAGCTGATCCATTGTTGTATCCTTCCACCTGGCCCAGAACAGGAGTTACAATCTTTTGACTTTTCACATGGCTCCATAGTCACATGGATGCCATAAGACTTCTGTTCCAAGCTACTCTGAAACTCAGGTAATTAAGATCTCATTCCTCCTAGCTCTTCCATGAGTGCTAGAGGCCTGAAGAGGCAAACGGTCAGGTTCCTTGGCAGCTGATGGTTGACTGCAAAGATCAGGACAGGTTTGTGTGCCCTGGCCTTGAGATTGTTTGTCTAATATTTCAGCATACTGTGATGTGCTAATTTCACACTGTAGTTAAATAAGGGCTGCTGTTTTACTTTCATACTACTCCGGCCACTGAAAGTCTGACTGAATCAAACACTTTTCAACATGATAAAAGTCTGACTGAATCAAACACTTTTCAACACGATAAACACAGCACAACATATTAGCATCTTTCTGCTCTCCCCAAAATACTGATTAGCAGTTCTTTAATGAAAGTGTTTTCAAATGCAGTTCTTTAGGAGAATACTAGGAAAACTTTACTTTCAAATTTAATTTGACTTAAAAGCCATATAGCTTTCCAGCCTTACTCTCTTGTAGGCTATAATGTCCACACCAAACAATTCCTACCATAACCACCACTTGAGACGTGTGCATAATTGAATGGAACGTTCATATAACTGAAAAACACTGCTTTCCAGTCTTTCACAAATAATATAGTTTGACCAATGCTGTTAGAATCTACAGTCAGAGCAAAACCAGCTTTTCAGCAAAGCAAAAACACCACCATTTAACTTTTAGAGACCTGTGATAATGGTATGAGTGCAGCTGTTAAAGTCTACAAAAACCCTAGGTGCCAGCCTCTTAAGAGAAGGTGAGCAAGTACTTTAAAAAACATTTTAGATGTGCACACAGCTCTGATTCACACACTTAAGTATACTTATACACCTAATTGCCACCACTCCTTTTCAATCCTACACAAAATGTTTATGCATTTAGTCATACCAAACTTTTTACTATTTTGTAACCACCAGTTGCAGATAGAAAAATGTTTCCCAGAATTATTTTTTCTAAATTTACTTCTAGAATGACCAAGTACTGATGCTTTTCCCCTTCAGTGTTCATGAATATGCATTTCCCCTATACTTCTGTTAGATTCCACATAATTTTCTTCTAATTATGTCTGCATCTCAGATACTTCTCCAAAACCACATGATAATGGCTCTCTCTAATATACAGACACCAATCCTAGGAAAACCTAACATTAGCAACATTCCAGGAGTCTGAGTCTAGATTTAAATGATATTATCGCACTGCAAACGAAAACAAGGAAAACTTTATAACAGCCTAGCCCAGAGAAGCAAATGTACTGTTAAAAAATGAAAAATTTAACCATGTTGTATATTGTCAGAGAAAAAAAACCTAAACTGGCTGGATAGCTCAATGGTCTAGAGGTTGGGAGTTCAATTCTCTACTGTGCCTCCTGGGAGAAAAGTCAGATTGTGTGGTTTTGGGCAAGCTGCACAGTTCCAAAGCTGCACCCAGAAGAAGGGAACAGTAAACCACTTCTGTGTATTCTCTATCTAGAAAACCCTAGAGGTTTAAGGGTCACCTTAAGTTAGAATTGACTTGACGGCATGCAATTATTATAGCAATGGCAAATTAGCAATGTAATTGCTTATGACATTCACAGGATGGCAAGTAGGGTTTTAAAAATACATTCTGTTTATAAATATTTATGCAAGGAAATCCCTACAAAAATATAGTGGCGAAAATCCTGTTAGTTACAAAAGTTGGCATAATGCCATCAACCATAATTTTCAGGGACAAATTGATGCAAGATATAATGTCAACATAGGCATTTCATATTGCACCCTATGTTTTTCTGCAACACTTCCTAAAAAGGAAAGCCTGCATCTACACTGTGAACCACGTTCTGTAATCATGATACCCACCTTTGTATCTCCTAAAATGTTATACCAGAACATATTGCCCTTCTTCCTTTACACAGATCTTTTAATTAACCAATGTGTGCTTTCACCAAGTAGACTAGCCTCAGTTTGAATCTCCAGAATGAATTATTAATTTTACATTCCAGCAGATCTAACAGGTCACTAGGATAAAGAACATATTCACATGCCAATAATGACTTAAAGTAAGTTATCTGTGAGAGGATTCAAAGTCACTTCCACTGTTTCTCTCAAGGCAATTAAAAAATCATCGTTAAGACTTAGCAATACAGACTCAGGAGGCAGCATAAATACCAAAGATGTCTACAGTATATTCCATGGCCAACAGCCCACAATCTAAATGGGGAATGATTAAAACTAAAATTAGCAAATTTAGTTGCTATTTAAAACTGCCTCAAATGTTTGTTTTTTAAATAATTAGCAAAAAATAAGATGAGAAATATTTTTTTAAGCATACAGTAAGCATGATAAAGGGCAGAAGTATCTGTACAGGGAAAGATAGCATGAAAACTGCAGTTATATAGCTAGAAAAATCATTTAGGGGAATAGAGCCAGAGATGTGCAAGTAAGATAAGACTGAACTAGAGGAGACAGAAAATACACACACCTGGCTCATCAGCTCCAAATTTTAGATGAAACCTGAGATCTGATTTTGCTCTTGTTCATCCAGAGTCAAGTCAGAAAGTCAAAACAAACCTCAGCATCCCGAAGCATGAGGGCTTGTCTTTGGCAATCCAATCAGAGTGCCATTAATGCCAGAGGAAAACAACCTTCTACCTTCTCCACTCTACTTGGCACAGAAGCACAGCAAAACAAGGCTTTTCCACCCTGCCTCTTTTCTACTTCTGGTAACAGGAATGCAAGAGGTGGAGGCTTTGAGGTAGAGCAAGCCACCTCAGAAACACTGAGGATGAGGATTTGTTTCCTGATTTTATTTCATATTCAAGCTTTCTGGTGGAGATATCAGTTCAAAGCTTGGATTTGAAGGGTATTTCCATCTGATCTAGCATAGCATTGATGTAGCACAAGAGGAGTCCTAACAATAGCCCCTCTTTGGCTGGGCAGCAAGAAGAGCCAATACGAGCTCTGATTGTATTGATTGATCTCTGACTTGGGCATATCTATCAGCAGACTAATGCAAGTTTTGTCAGCCACAGACTTGGGAGTTATGTCAAAGCTTTGCAAAGAGTCACCTGCAATCACAGATCTACAAATGCAGCTCTTCATAAGTTACTTGACTGCAAATCCTATCAGCCTTAGCCAGCATACCCAATGGTATGGAAAAACTCTTATTGGCCCCTATTTTAGAAGCTTCTCTTCAGTGAAAGTGGGTATAGTCAATTTTCTAAATACTACCTTCTGCTCAACAGAGTCCTGTAAAGGTAGCACCAAGAAGATTATAGGGGCTATAACTCTATGACAAATTCAAGGCATGGTTCTTCCAATGTCTTGTTATTACTGGGCTGTGCAAATTAGTTACTACAACATTTGCCCTTCTTTCCCCTCTAAACACTCAGTAGTAAATACATGGTGAAGTCACATTGTGTGAATATTTGACTAAGCACACTATTTTGTAGCATAACATTCTTCCTGTTGGTCCAGAAAAAGTGGATTGGACCCAGATGTTGGCATAAGCAACGGAGCTGGCAGAAGGAAAACTCCTGTCTGTTTCCCTTTTAACACTGTCTTACCATGCACTGGAAAAAAAAACCTATACAGAACAGTGTGTGATCCTGTTGTACAGGCTATGGTACAGAGGGAAGCAGGCGTCACTGAGTGTGAGATGGAGCCAAATTCAGTGAGGGCAACTCTGTGCTTGATGATTTATTAATCTAAATGCTGGGGATCCATTTATCACCGCACCACAGCCAACACCACTCAGAATAATCTTCTGGCTCTCTGTATGGCACTTTGTGGATGGGTGTGGAAGGACTGCCATGAAAACTGGTCAAGGAGTTGATCCCACCACCCTAGTTACATATGCCTAATCCTAGATTCAATCTAAATATAGTTGTCAGAATATTGGGTTCTTCTGAATGGGGGGAAAAGTTCCACCATCATGCCTCACTCCTCATACATTGCAATGGATACAGGATTTACTGGGATTTTTGTCCTAGCCTCACTTTTAAAAGCCACTCCTCTTTAAGAAATTTTTGAAATGCTTTAATAAACATGGACAAAATCCATTTTTCTGCTGGAACTTCCCTTCTAGTGGTCTTTGAGGATGGTGTTTGTGTGCTAACTGGAAGTTTCCAACCAAAAGATTGTGGCTGTGAGGATGAACTTCACTGAATACACCATAGCACTAAACTCTGCCTTCAAGAACAAGCAAAGTAAAAAAGAAACCATGCCAGAAAGAGCAAAAAGATTAAAAGTCAGCACTCAGGAGATCTGGTTTAAATCCCCACTCAGCCATGGAAACTGACTGGTGGGCATGAAAATGGTGAAACTCCTCCTTAAATATCTCACTTATCTTGAAAACCCAATTAAGGTTGCTGCACATCAGTTCTGACTTGCTGGCACATAACACATGAACCTTGAAAAGATGAAGATTGTACAGATGGCAGAAAAAAATACCAGTAATAACAGGGACAGATAAAGCAAATATTTCATCAGGAAGAGTCCTAGTTTTCTGAACAGATGATTTATTACTATGTTATTGTGGAAAGGAAAAGACTGGACATTTTTGTAAATATGCATGTGATACAGAAAAATATTGCAAAAACTCTTTTGTGTGCATGTGTTACGATAATCTTAAACATTGTGAACCATGTCATCACAACCATTCTCTTTTGTAACCATTTGATAAATGACGGACTTAAAATGCTGGTTAATGCTGATGTTTTAAATCTGGATTTTGGCCAAAAATAAAAGACTTTTGTCTTTTCAGTCTTAAAAACTACAGCTCAAGATTGGGAGGTAGGCAGATGGAAGCAAGTGAATACATATTTAATTTTTAACAAACAGGATTTGTTTAATTAAAAAATGAAACATTTGCCTCTCTCAATATTCACTCTTACCTCTTGTTTGCTATCTTTAAAAGACCTCCTTAAAGTTTTGCTTCTGGAACCGGAAGGTGACGTTTCTTCTTTTTGGCCGAAGAATTCCTCAATTGTCTTTGTGTCGATCTGATAATTCTGTTTAGCACCAATAGTCCAAATATTGTTTTTCCCACGGACTTGCTCTTCAGGAATAGTTTTCCAGAAGAAACTACGTATTCGCTTCTTCTTGCTCGAGTGGCCATGCCCGTTGACTAAATGGGGCAATGAAGACCGGCTCAGCACTGGAGGGGGAGGGGGAGGTGGGGGCGGCACTCCTGCTGGTGAAGAGAATCCAGCTTCTGTAGACAAACATGGTGGAGGTGGTGGAAGTGGTGGTGGAGGTGGCGGCGGCAGCTGTTCTTCTGGCTCTGTTGTATCTCCAATCATTAATCCAGTTTCAACTGAAATAGCTCCATTTTCCTTATCACTGACCAAGGAGACACAATTCATAACATGCATTTTACAGTCCCTCTCTGTGGAGAGAGAGAGACTTGCGTCCAAGGATGTGCATGTAATATCAAACAGCAGGGCAGCAAGGTATAACTTGTTCCTCTAATTTTTAATGTATGGCAAGCAAAGGAAATTCAGGAAATCAGTCATCCCTCTGAAATCTGCAATAAAACATAATCAGAGAAATAAGATGTTAAGAAAACTGGATACATATAATGCATGGGCAGGAATGGGCATGGCTAAAGCATCAGTTTGTAGGTTGTGTATAATTAAGAGCACAAATTCCAATGTACAGATGTTGGGATCTAGGAGACACCCATGTGTGGTGTTTGTAATCAGCAGACTTAGTGACATGCACTACTCTGGGTGGTTACCAATATATAAACCACCTCCAAACCACACCCAAGATGAAACAAACTCCCAAAATACACAATAATCAAAAGCCAATTCTGAATTAAAACTTGAACCAATAATCCAAACACAAATCATGGTGGTGTAAGATGAATCCAGATCCTGCAGCTACCTTGGGGGGAAAGATATCTTCTAATGCTTCCTTAAAGAATTTTGTCATAAGTGTTTTCTTGATGGTAGGGAGGGAAGGGGTCTGATGATTCTCCAGCAGGAGGCCATTCCATAAAGGTGGGGTCATAACCAAATAGGCTCAACTCCCAGTGAACTCTATTCACCTCTGTTGGTATGGCCACCCATATGTGTGAAGTCTGGGAGAATTGAATGGGGCAAGCAGAAATTCTTTTGGGGAGATGCTCTGACAGATAATGAGCCCCCAAACAGTTAAGGGCTTTGTACATTAGCACCAAAACCTTGAATCTGGCTCGGAAAGGAACAGGAAGCCAATGCAGGCACACCAGGACTGGCAAAATATAGTCAAACCTATTCATGCCAGATAGCAACCTGATGCTGCATTCTGCAGCTGTTGCAGTCTCCAAGTTAACTTCAAGGGAAGCACTACACAGAGAGCATTACAGTAGTCAGTCTTTGAGATCACCAGTTTTACTGCAGCAATGCTGTTTAAACTGTAAATTGCATTACCACTTGAAAGTAAAAACAGCTGTGGTGAAATAAAGAGAAGATGACATCTCAGAGAATAATCCACAGTAACACTCAGAAGGATTATGAAACTCAAGACAGTGCTAAAACATTGTTACCTATTTGCTGTTTCTCCTCTCTCTCTCTCTCTCTCTCTCTCTCTATCTCTCTCTCTCTGTGTGTGTGTGTGTGTGTGTGTGTGTGTGTGTGTTGAACTACTTTGTTCTATCATAATTTAAGAATAGTCCTAAAGTTTAGTAATTTAGATCAATTAGCTTAAGACATGCCAAATATAAAAAGAGAAGTAGTCGGTTTCTCTGTCACTGCAGCATTTAAAATCAAATCCACAATACATTAGAAAGAATAACTGTAACTATGATCTCATGGTTTGATTACTAATCATAAACATAATTTACATATCATTATCATCAAAGCTGTGGCTATCAAGCTACAAAGGAATGTGCTTTACACATTCCATAGCCCTGTTTTGAATTGCTATTTACAAGGATAAATAATTTATTCGGTTTCTTCTAAATGCTTGCTATAGGAATGGAATGAGAGAGAAAAAACAAAGTTCTAAAGGAGATTCTGTAATTGCTTATGATTCTTTACAATTCTGCCATTACACCTTCAAGCATGTTCTCTACAGCTGCTAGAGGTAATTTTCAAATTGTTCTTTCAATAAAACCTGTTGTTTAAATTTTTACTCTTGCATCCCTCCTTTGTACGACAACCTTTCAAGTATTTGAAGAGTGCTATCATATCTCCCATCAGTCTTCATCATTTACTTACAGATGAACAGATCAAACTGACAAAAAATGACTGTTTTAAAGCAATAGGACTCAACTGTGTTACTGCTTCCAACAGACAAAGAAGAGGGGGAAAGCTCAAAAGGAGAGAGGCAGGACTCTCTTTGAATTCAGAGGCAGGAAATGAATAATTGGTTGGTGCTGGATAGTTTGGCAGTAACCCCATCCCAGAAAGGTCCCTTCCAGCCACTCTTACTGAAGATACCATACAATGCTGCAGAAACCCCTACAGTATCTCCTGTCTTGTAACTATACATTTGTCTCCTGTCTTCCCAGGTGTAGAACTTTGCACTTACCCTTCTTAAATTTCATTTAGTTGTTTTCAGCCCAGTACTCATACCTATCAAAATCTTTTTGAATTAGGTCTCAGTCTTCCAGGGTATTAGCTATTCTATCCAATTTTGTGTCATCCACAAATTTGATAAGCATCTCCCTACACCTCATCCAAGCTATTAATAAAAACTTGAAGAGCACTGGGTCCAGGACTGAGCCCATTGTACCCTCTCCTTGTTACCTCATCCAAGACTGAGAAGGAACCTCTGATAAACACGAGTACAATTCTGTAACCAACTATGGATCCACTTGATATTTGTTCTACCCAGCCCACAGTTAGTTTCTTGCTAATCAGAATATCATGGGGCACTGATGTCAAGCTGACTGGTCTGTAGTTACAAGGTTCCTTTTTTGAAGACAGGGCCAGCATTAGCCCCCCTCCAATCATCTGGCACCTCACCCAAAATAATAGTTGTTCTGAGAATTCTTCAGCCAGTTCCTGCAATACTCTCGGATGAAATTCATTGGTCCTTGGAGACTGGGAACTCGTTAGTCAATGTATTCCTTCACTATTTACCTATTAATTTCAAACTACAATTAGGAATGTGACTGACAGCTTATTAATTGATGATTCACCACTATGACTTCCACAATGTCATTTGCATGTGCATAAATAGCCAACAGGATTGTAGCCACTGTGTTTGGATACCTTAGTAGAAACTGGATGCCTTCACCTTATTTTAGGGACCTCATTTCCTAATGCATCAAAACATATATCATTCAAAAAGCCTTTTGACTGTCTGCATAGCAATTTCAGCAGGCTGGGAGATATGCCCCATGGAGGAAAAGTCAATTTGGACCAGCTCAAGCACATGCATCAAAATCCGGGTCCAGTGCTGTGTGTTTTGTTTAGGGCAGTAAAAATAGGAAATACAGTAGGAGCATTGTAACTGCTGCTGCTTCTTGAACTGAGTAGCTAAACCAAAGCTTCCTATTCTTTTCTGTAGAGCAAATGTCCTTTCCATGTAAAAAATGGCACAAGTTCCCTACTCATAGAGAAATTAATAGGAAATCCTAGTGAACCGTCATCTTCCAGGGGTTTACTGAAAGAACGGATCACATTTCAACTGTTTAGGTAGGAGGTTATCCAGACAGGTGAAAAGAAGCATCTCGTTTGGATCTTCTTATCTTATACCTGCTGGTAAGGGTAATTTGCCTCATGCTGCCATCTCCATCTGCATCTCCTGCCAATATCTCTACCCCTTTCAGTCATTCTTATTTCATATCCCGTGTATCTAGGTCCTCCTTCCCAAGCAAACATGGAACACTTACACTGGGACATTCAGGAAATCATAGATTTTCAGACCATTTAAAAAAAAACAATCTCTACAATGTATCTTGCTAATTCACCTCAGTCAAGTTCAATCAACAACAGTTTCTTAAGTGGGATGATTGTGATGTTAGTGCCAATCCACTAACACAATAACAAAAACCTAGCACAAAGGTTTATTTAAAAAAACAGGGAGTCTCCCAAAGAGTTGTTGTCAAAGATAGACAAATGAGATTAAGACTAGTGCAAATCTCCCCACCCACCCCAATATCAAGGGTTAAGCTTGGAACCAGTCAGTGATAGTATTAATCTACCTCTCAACTGCACCCCTCCAGGAAAAGCAAAGCAAAGCAAGAAGGATTAAACACTGTCATGCCATGTCTCACTGGTGAAAACACATCCATCAAAGACAGAGAAGGCACCAAGATGTGCAATCCCACTTTACAATAGTGATGAAAAGTAATACACTACCACTACCACCACAAACAAACAAAACAGACATTTGGGACTGAACTGAAAAGACATACAAGTTTTTTTTATCAACAACATACAGTGATGCCTCACAAGACAAAATTAATTCATTCCGCAAGTCGTGTTGTACTGCAAAAATTTAATCCTGCGAAGCGTGGTACTAACAGTTGTACGATTTAAAACAAACCCCCCCCAAAAAGGGAAAAAATCATCTTGCGAGTCACCAAAAATATCGCAAAACGCTTTCATCTTGCAAGTTTTTCATTGCCTGAGGCATTCATCTTGTGAGGCATCACTGTAAGCAAAAGCATAATGTGGATATTGGAGAAAACAGTGATAACAATCCATGCAGAAGCTACTCTTTACAGGAGGACAAATGGCAGCATGCACAAGACCTGCCTTAAAGTTATCAACAATCACCTCCAGTTCTCGATTCATATTTTCAAGCAAAAGTCTTACTGTGCTCTGTCATAGTCACAAAACATGACCCAGAGTACAAACCAGAAAACTTAACATTAAGAAACTTCTATGTCACCAAATGTCTTTTTTTCATAAATTATTCTTTCTATGTAATGGAGCAGATAAAATCCAGTTTAAAAGCCAGTGATGATTCCAGAAGTATTTTAAAACAGTCAATTTAGTTTGCCAAGTGATACAATTATGAATTAATTTCCATTACATCAGCAAATAAAACAAGCTGAAGTGGTTGCTCCTACCAGATATGGATGTTCCAATAAACAAACCACAGACATTCTCACTGCAAACTGGATTAACTGGGCAGCAATTAGTCCACAGAACCCAGGTTTATCATGCTATCTGAAGATACTCACTGGTTTTCCACGAAGGGTTATTATTTTAAAATAGATTGATCTAAAATTCCCAAAATATTTTTACTTTAAGCATAAGAGGATAATGTATTCGCAAAGGCTTTCACAGCCGGGATCTAATGGTTGTTGTGGGTCTTTCGGGCTTTTTGGCCCTGTTCTGAAGGTTGTTCTTCCTGATGTTTCACCAGTCTCTGTGGCCGGCATCTTCAGAGGATCCACAACAACCGTAAGAGGATAACCTAAGCTAGTCCAACTGTTAAAGGCCAGATTTTGGATTCCAGAATTAACAATGGTCTCAAACAATCCCAATGTATTTAAAAAGAAACCAATCAGCTCAGTATTTTTTTTATGTTGTCCTTTTTGATCTGTGTAACTAGAAACTGTATAATGCAATTTAACATTGG